ATAAGGAGTTAACTGATCTTCTTTCATTCTCTTGTTTGTAAAAGAGAACTATGGGGTAACCTTTTTTTATCCTATATTTCTCTGTAGGGTCACGGGAGGACATATACTAACCTCCTCCAGTGACCCAAAGCTCAGTATATAGCGAGCTATTGCCTGCTATATACTGAGAGCGCCGCAGCCGAGATCCACCCAGCTGGCTGATAGGCAGAGCCCGCTGTCAATCTAGAGACAGAGCCAGCTTTGCCCGCCCACTCCCCTGTCCGTTCCTCCAGTCAGTGCTGGAGGATCAGAGAGGGAAACACCCGGGCGGGGAACAGTAACTGACAGTCAACACTCTCTGCAGGGAGATGATCGGAAAGTGAGCGAGCGACTGTATGTGTTCGCTCACTTCCCGATTAATAGAGCCAACGTGTGACAGTTTCCTTGTCACACATCGGCTCCAACTATGAGGCTGGGTGATTTTCACTCTCCTCATAGTTCTCCTTTAATGCTTTCTGGGCTAGATTTTGGAATGACGTTTGGTTGCCTGGAACGCCCTGCCCGCATTGGGGCCGGCTTACTTATTTGCCGAGTTGGAAGGGGCGTGGCAGGCCATTGAAGTGAATGGCACCATAGCCACGCCCTCCGGCCGTAATGCGATCGCCCGCACGGGATCGCAAGGCACATTGTGCTTGCATTGCATTCGGGTGCGGTGCGATAGAAATTCTACAAGCACTAATTTGATCGCGTCCATCGGGCTGAGTGACCCGATGGAGGCAGGGCTTAGTGACGGCGCGCTGGTCGCAGGACTAAGTTACGACGCGCTGGACGCAGGGCTTAGTGATGATGCTCTGGACGCAGGGCTTAGTGATGACTACTCGCTTGACGCAGGGCTTAGTGACGAAGCGCTGGACGCAGGACTCAGTGACGACACGCTGGACGCAGGGCTTAGTGGCGACGTGCTGGACCCACCTGAGAGTGACCCTGCAGAGCCCACCATAGATGCTGCACAGCCCATCTTAGACTGTCTATGGTGGGCTCTGAAGGGGTCTCAGGTGGGCTGGTAAGGGCTGCATCCCCCTCCCAGCTCCTCTTACCTGCACACCATGCCTCCTCTCCCCTGGACTGACCGGAAGTTACGTCACTAACGTGACATCACTTCTGCAAGTCCGCCTTCAGACGAGCAGCGTCGCTGATGCGGCCCCAGCTTGTCTCGAAGCCACTGGAGTGGCAATGCTGGGCCCTGCGCAGCTAGGGCCAGGCCTCCACCGCTGCTCCTGCGGGGGCCCTGCCGCCTCCTCGCCCTTCACTGTCAGCCGATACTCATGTAAGGGTCCCGTGCAGGCCCCGGAGGCTGCCCGGGCTCCTTATATGGCTATCTGCCGTACCGCCCTGACGGCGGCCCTGTTTAGAACAACTACTTAAACAATAGGCAACAGGCTATTCAGCAAATGGCAACCTGGTATCAGAATCCGTTTCCCCTGGGCAACAAGGGTCTGATGAATTAAAGAACAGTGTGGATGGTCTATCTGGGGTGTGGGGCATTTAGAGGTGGCATTCACAATTGATTTTTACCCTTGAAATGGTGTGGAGGCCATATTGGAGGGGGGGGGGAACCAAATTTGATAGCAAATGGCAACCTGCTATCAGAATCTGTTTCCCCTGGACAACAAGGGTCTGATGAATTAAAGAACAGTGTGGATGGTCTATCTGGGGTGTGGGGCATTTAGAGGTGGCATTCACAATTGATTTTTATCCTTGAAATGGTGTGGAGGCCATATTGGAGGGGGGGGGGGGAACCAAATTTGATAGCAAATGGCAACCTGCTATCAGAATCTGTTTCCCCTGGACAACAAGGGTCTGATGAATTGAAGAACAGTGAGGATGGTCTATCTGGGGTGTGGGGCATTTAGAGGTGGCATACACAATTGATTTTGTCCCTTGAAATGGCGTAGAGGCCATATTGGAGGGGGGAACCACATTTGATAGCAGATGGCAACCTGCTATTGTGGCAGCAGACAAAATGGCTACGCTTAACAAAATGGCCCACGGTTTAAATAGATTGTTTTTTTTGTATCTACATATATGACCCTGTGACTTCTGCCCTACAGTGTAATTTTGCAAGTACAAATGCTGAGTGCGGAATCTTGTGACTTAGGTCCCCCTACCCCTTCTCTCAAAACTGTAATAGTAATTAGTCATGAGTTTATGACAAAAGGTTGTGACAGGATACATAAACCATAAATGGTAAAATTGCAAATGCTGCTTGCTGATTGGCTTAGAGCTGTATAAGGAAAGAGACGTATTGGAAATGTGTAATGTGACTTAAGGCTCACTCTGGTTTTGGAGACAGTAGTCCCCTGGGTCTAGATCTGCGCAGAGAATAAAGAAGATTTGTATTCCTGAAGTCTGTGTCCGGAGTCCATTGCTGGTTTCCAGAAGCTGTTTCCCGCTACACTATCACAATCCGTTTCCCCTGGACAACAAGGGTCTGATGAATTGAGGAACAGTGAGGATGATCTATCTGGGGTGTGGGGCACACAGAGGTGGCATACACAATTGATTTTGTCCCTTGAAATGGCGTAGAGGCCATATTGGAGGGGGGAACCACATTTGATAGCAAATGGCAACTTGCTATCAGAATCGGTTTCCCCTGGACAACAAGGGTCTGATGAATTGAGGAACAGTGAGGGTGATCTATCTGTGATCTGGGGCATGCTTATAATGAGTATTGCTGATTAAGATTATCATTGTTGATTACAATGAGCAGTATGGATTACGATCGGGTGTATTGATTAAGATTATAAGTGTGGATTAGGATGAGTGGACTATGATGAGTGGACTATGATGAGCGGTAAGGATTATGATGAGCGGTAAGGATTATGATGAGCGGTAAGGATTATGATGAGCAGTGCGGACTATGATGAGCGGATTATGATGAGCGGTGCTGATTATGATGAGCAGTGCGGACTATGATGAGAAGATTGCGGATGAGCGGTGCAGATTATGATGAGTAACTCGGACTATGATGAACGGTGTGGATTATAATGAGCGGATTATGATGAGCAGTGCGGACTATGATGAGAAGATCCGGATGAGCGGTGCTGATTATGATGAGTAACTCGGACTATGATGAGCGGTGCAGATTATAATGAGCGGATTATGATGAGCAGTGCGGACTATGATGAGAGGATTGCGGATGAGCGGTGCAGATTATGAGTAACTTGGACTATGCTGAGCGCTGCGGATTATGATGAGCGATGCGGATTATGATGAGCAGATTATGATGCGTGGATTATGATGAGCGCTGCGGATTATGACAAGAGCTGCAGACTACGATGTGCGGATTATGACAATGTGCGGATTATGATGTGCGGATTATGACAAGCGCTGCGGATTATGATAAACTGCGAATTATGAGAAGCGCTGCGGATTATGATAAACACTGCGGATTATGATAAGCGATCTCCTCTCATTTTAGAGGATTTCTCTTATGTGTCAACAAAGCGAGTGTCCCTGTTAGAAGATTTCTCCTGTAACATTAACAAAAAGGGAAAAAACTGACTGAGGTTTTAACTAACCCTTCCCTGCTCTATCCATAGCTGGGGAAAAAAAATGTAGATATAGATACATATATTTGTGTGTGTGTTCTGTGTGACTGTCATTGTCTGTTCCAACATGTTGTCTAAATCATGGTTCACTGTCATAGAGACTGTGGTACCAATACTGATTGTTCTTTTTCTGGTACTAAAATCATTTTGGGTGTTGCTGCCATTAAAAGCTCCAAAATGTATCGGTTGACATTTCTTGAGCGATTTGCTGCTTCTCCGGAAGACATACATTGGGTTCTGAGCTCCGGAGCACTCGGCTCCCTTGCTTAGGGGGCCACATGCTTGCTAAATTATGCCTGTATGTAGAGGCCCTTAGGATTGGAAGGGCCCCAGTGCTGATACGTCAAATAATGAGAAACAAACCTGTGTAACCTAATTTGTGTACTAACTGTAAAAGCAAATATTAAGTTTACCTTTTCTCTCTACAGGTGGCTGGAAACTTCCATTTTGCTCCTGGTAAAAGCTTCCAGCAGTCTCACGTCCACGGTAAATAGCTTTTTACTTTTCAGTTACAAACAAAATAATTGTGTTCTATATTTAGACAAAGAGTTTGAGGTCTAATGACTGATGACTCTGATAGAAAATAGTATAATTAAGTGCATAGAACATAGATGTTGTGTAAACGACGGCAATCAGAAATCCACTGTGAGAGGTTTGCTGCTCCATGCTACTGAACTACACCTCTTTTCGCACCGAATGCTACAATATATATTGCACTGTTGGCTGCTCAGTTTGATATACATTTCACAGGATCTGAGCAAGAAAACAAACAAGGAGACTATGTGGGCTCGGAGTAATCATACAGTTGGGCAAAAAAGTATTTAGTCAGCCACCAATTATGCAAGAGAGGCCTGTAATTGGCATCATAGGTAGACCTCAACTTTGAGAGACAAAATGAGAAAACAAATCCAGACAAATCACATTGGCTGATTTGGAACTAATTTATTTGCAAATTATGGTGAAAAATAAGTATTTGGTCAATATCAAAAGGTCATCTCAATACTTTGTTATATATCCTTTGTTGGCAATGACAGAGGTCAAACGTGTCCTGTACGTCTTCACAAGGTTGGCACACACTGTTGCTGGTATGCTGGCCCATTCCTCCATGCAGATCTCCTCTAGAGCAGTGATGTTTTGGGGCTGTCGCTGGGCAACACGGACTTTCAACTCCCTCCAAAGGTTTTCTATGGGGTTGTTTCTCCGGAAGACATACATTGGGTTCTGAGCTCCGGAGCACTCGGCTCCCTTGCTTAGGGGGCCACATGCTTGCTAAATTATGCCTGTATGTAGAGGCCCTTAGGATTGGAAGGGCCCCAGTGCTGATACGTCAAATAATGAGAAACAAACCTGTGTAACCTAATTTGTGTACTAACTGTAAAAGCAAATATTAAGTTTACCTTTTCTCTCTACAGGTGGCTGGAAACTTCCATTTTGCTCCTGGTAAAAGCTTCCAGCAGTCTCACGTCCACGGTAAATAGCTTTTTACTTTTCAGTTACAAACAAAATAATTGTGTTCTATATTTAGACAAAGAGTTTGAGGTCTAATGACTGATGACTCTGATAGAAAATAGTATAATTAAGTGCATAGAACATAGATGTTGTGTAAACGACGGCAATCAGAAATCCACTGTGAGAGGTTTGCTGCTCCATGCTACTGAACTACACCTCTTTTCGCACCGAATGCTACAATATATATTGCACTGTTGGTCCACGGGGTGAGATCTTGCGTGGAGCCCCAGATCGAGGGAGATTATCAGTGGTCTTGTATGTCTTCCATTTTCTAATTATTGCTCCCACAGTTGATTTGTTCACACCAAGCTGCTTGCCTATTGCAGATTCAGTCTTCCCAGCCTGGTGCAGGTCTACAATTTTGTTTCTGGTGTCCTTCGACAGCTCTTTGGTCTTCACCATAAAGGAGTTTGGAGTGTGACTGTTTGAGGTTGTAGACAGTTATCTTTTATACTGATAAACAAGAATTATGCCTAGTTCATTTAAATGGCAAATGAGATGAATGAAAATACATTGCACTTAATCTGTACAAGTTCCCGGTATGTCTTACTTTTATTTTTGTGGTTTTCTTTGTTTTGTTTTTAGTGTGTTTTGCGAAGCCCATTGATTGCATTGACTATTCTATATTTGAGTTGTATTGCCCTGCAACCCATGGCTTTCATTCGTTACAGAATAAAATACAACTAAACATCACTGATGTCTAACTCTGAGATATAAAGCTGTACTATTAAAGCAAGATTGGAGATTAGGAATGTTATAAATGCCCTAATTCTATTTAAAAATGGCTGGTCCTTACTCTCATCTGCTCTGCCTCTGATATTCAAACTTATTGAGTGTCAGAGACAGTTTGTTTGAATTTGTTTGTTGTCATTCCTCCTCCATGCAGGGTGGTATACTGGCTATGAAACGGGGTGTGTGTGTGTGTGTTCCATTGCAGAACACTTAAATGTATTAAATATTTATTATTTGCAGGGTTAATCACAAGTTCCAGGACTTTTGGCTACCCTCGATGCCTATCAGTTTATGCTGCTCCGGGTGGGATTCGTGGTCCAGGCCTCTCTCGCCTCATCTGCTTCGGTGACTGTGACCAGGGTGCTGTGCCTGGACGGCCCTGCAGAGATGCACACACACACTGACCCATTTGAATGACAACCTCCCTCTCCTGAAGAATATATACCACATCCATTACAGCGCCCCTAAGCGCAAAACGTTGAGAGAAAACTAGGCTCCTCCTCTGTTAAACCTTCAAAAACGCTGTATCATGTCAAATTACAAACAATCATGTCTCTGTTAAGTCTGATTATCTAATCAGGTTAATTATGTCTAATCACGGCTTTCTACTATCATGCATTGTAATTCTATCAATCATGTTATTCACATATATATGAAGGACAGAACAGAAATGAAGTGAGCTTTTCAGGGAGATATACAAATTGTATATCTCCTTTACATTTCTCTTTTTTTATTTTCTCACCTACCTGCCTCAGTCAGTCCTTGCCTCGTGCCAGTCTGCCTCTTTCTGGATGTCCTGGACGTGAGTGAAGCACCCGTCCGCACAGCCTCACGTCCTCCAGGGAAGTCTGTGACATGTCACGCTATGCGGGCGGGGGCCGGGGGAGGAGCTACCTTTAGGATGCGATCGTGCAGATCGCATAGGACAATACGTTATGGCATTGCCGTATGCGGCGCTGCCATAACGTATTATACTATGCGATCCGATAGGCAATTTTCTGCGGGCAGTGGGCTTAAGGGGCAGATACTTCGGGCCCCACAACCTTTATTGGGCCCGGGGCAAGTGCCCTCTTTGCCCTGCGTTAAAGACGGCCCTGGTTGCGACCCACTTTTGGGTCAAGACCCACCAGTTGAGAACCACGGTCCTAGATTGTTGCCTTCTCCAATCCCTTCACCCTTTTTGTGAATAATCCTGTTAGAGTGCAGTTTGGTTACGCTCCTTTTCTGGTCTTATGCTCCCATTAGGGAGATTTCCCTTCACTTCCTGACCTAGAGATGCATAAAGTGAGAGAATTCACTCTAAAATGAGGATAAATTTCCTCTTCAGCAGTTGACACCCAAGCAGGTGTTCCATTAAAGGATTTCCACTCTGTTCCTATTCCAGTGACGATGGCAACATTTCCCACTACTTTCTGTCCCACTGACATTATTTACCAGGACACAGAGAGTTCAATATCTCTCCATGAAGGGCAAAGACGGCAATAAAAACCTGACAGGTTTTTTTTTTCACAAGTAAATTTTTATTGTAATTATACATGTCAAAGTTACAGACAATAATCAAGTATAGCAAACAGTAGAATATACACAAAGTGAAGTCATGAGTTTAGGTGGGGATGGAGAGGAGGGGTTCCAGGGAACAAGCCGTGATATACATTGTAGGGAGTAGCCTTGTGTACAGCTAGCCTGTTCCACTATTAAGCCCTAAGAGGCATGAGCGGTGCTTGCATGGCGTTGAAGCCCGAGCGTTTGTAAAAAGTTGTAATAATGTCTTTTGAGGTGACTGAGCTTGGGGCCCCCAGTGAGGTCAGTCTATGGTTATGTTGCAGGCCTAAGAGGGCGTTCAGAGCTGTACAGGTATGACAGGGCTAATTTTAGGAAGTTAACTTAGTGGAGGGGGGGAGGAGAGAGAAAAAAAAAAGGGGGAATTATATTCAGGGCTATTAGCGAGCTAGAAAAGGGGGAGGTGTCAGAGGGTAAGGAGGATAGGGGAGAAGGGGATGGAAGGTTGGAGAAGAGTAGGCCCTGATAATCCCTCCTATGTCCAAACATTCCTGGTCAGGCTGTCTCCGAAAAAAAACAAAGGGTTTGGCTTTGGATACAATTCCATCCTCCTAGGACACTAGCAAAAGTCTGAAGCGTGCTGGTAGTACTAGGGGATATCCTGGACTGGTTTACAATTGGTTGTCCCTCAATGGGCAGGAAAGAAAAAGGATTTGGCTTTCAATACTTTAAATAAACGTCACATGACCTTTTTATTTAAATGTTGTTGATGCCTTTATCGTGAAGAGGGTTATGCTCTGTAGGTATGAATATGCCTGATAAATCATTGCTATTTTACTTTTTTTGTTGTCCACTGGTTGAATGTGATGCATTTTCTGTTTCTAATGATGGCAAATGAATTTCCCTTCTTCACCTTACCCACATGCGGGTAAATAAGATTTGGTACCATTGTGTAATTAAGCAATTCTTTCTCTCCTCTCTCCCTGCCTCCTCTGTGCAGTACATGCTGTTGAGAGTAAGTCCGCAACTCTTGTATATTTACAATCCATAATGTTCTGGGCAGCCTGTGATGTCACTTCCTCTGTTACAACACTGCAGTTTCTGGACAGCTTGTGATGTCACTTCCTGCACTGCAGTTTCCATTCACTTAGCCCACCTAGTCTCCCTTTTCTCTGCCTGCACTGAGACTATTTGTAGCAGGAATGTAATATTGAATTTATGAATAAACCCTTCAGGTATTGGAATTGACTCTTCATAATTCTGGGGAAAACAGGAAAATGTTTAGATTTCTTAATAACATTAATCTGTACTTGCCTCTCTCTCTGCAGACTGACATCAGAATTTGGTGCAGGCCCTAGAGGTGCCTGTAGATCTCCTTTGTTATCGGAGTTTCCCCGGGAGGCCCAAAATCAAGCATGCGGTGTTCTGTCAGTGATGTACCTGGGCAATCAATGTGATGTACAACCTCACTGATCAACAAAGCATTGCCAGAGGGGATGAGGACAACCTTCAGCTTCCTATTTGAAAGAGATATTGCATACAACTGCTTCCCTAGTTTTGGGGCTCCTATAACGGAGAGCAAAATTCTGATTCTGACAGTTTGCTCCAAGACAATCCAGGCCTACGCTATAGTTAAGCTGTGGCCAGGCTATGGACATTCAAGTCTCCACTCGCTGTAGTTACAGATCACATCCACCGAGTCTTTTACATGTATTACCTGGATCTTGTGCTGATTTGTCCTTTTATTGGATTGCTGCCTTTGTACAACTATGAAACCACAAGGCAACACTATGATGGGAATTTATCAAGACTGGAGCAGACAAAATCTGGAGAAGCTGTGCATGGCAACCAATCGGCTTCTCTCTTTCATTTTCAAATCTCAGCTGAACAAACTGAAGAGAAAAGCTGATTGGTTACTGCTCCATATTCTGTCCCAGTTTTGATAAATTCCCCCCCATTGTGATATTTTTATCAGGCTGCAGGCACTTTTATTTGTACGGAACATGCA